ATACGACCTCATAAGAACCAAACAAATTAGAAATATTATATATCTTATATGTATGTTAAATAACTCAAAAATCATTAGAATATTGTCATGGCTAGAAAAGTTTAATATATAATATATATATATATGAATTACAACAAAAAAAATAAAATAAATAAATAATGAAACCATTATTGTTGTAAACATCCTAGTTTTCCTAAGTTTTTTCAATGTTTTCTTCAATTATTAAGAATATAATAAAGAAAATTAAAAATCTCCTCAATTAATTAACCAAATCCCAAATTCTATAAAAAAAAAACACTTTTGTCGTTTTCGATTAAAGCAATTAAAAAAAATGATAAAAAAAGTGTTTTACAGATAGAAAAAAAATAATAATGCATAATTAAATCAATTAATTTTTGCTACTCTCAGAATCTAAAAAATATCCATGAGCAGCAAAGTTAGAGTCAAAATTTCGTACTATTTCTAAAATTACATGCATATATGTCATTTAGACTAAAAAATAAAGAGAAATTATATAAGACATGATTTTTAAAAAATTTTGAAAATTGACTTAAGCCCTTCTTTCCTAAAATTAAAGATGAAACAGATCTATGTATAATATAGTGCAATAGTCTCTTGTTTTGGCAAAAATTCGACCACAATATATAATGTAAATATTTTGATTACTTCTTGCTTCTGTTCGAATTTTAAAATCAACAGAAATTCGCTAATTTAAGGATTTTTTTTTTGTAAATATCTCATTATTGACTATTCAACACATATAGTAAATCAAATTAAATAAATTCTTATATTTATAAATATATAAATGCCAACATATTATTGTCTTTCACTAAACGTATTATTATTTTATATTGTAATTTATATTGTACAGTGTTAAATGTAATTGTGTAGGATTACATTAACGAATTGAATATTATCTAAGTGATACTCTAATTATTAATATATTATTAGTAGCTAGTAAAACTGACATTTTGTTTATTGAGTATTTAATTTAAATTATTAGCTTTACCAATTTAATTTTATTAAGATTATATGATTTTTTTTAATCGGTATTATTGTGATCCTTATGTATGAATAAATGACAGACGAATATTCTTCAACAAATCATTATTACAAATCAGATCATCTATTATAATTTGATATTTACTCACCTGGGAATAAAAGTGGCGACAGCCATAGTGTTATAAACCTCATAGCAGTCGTAATAGAAGCACTGAAATACCGTGGTGGTACGGATGAGATCTACTACTGCCGTAGTAATTTAACACGTGTATGGTCTCGGGGCTTCTTCGCTCCCATTTTACGATGTATGTAGTGCACTCTAGTGGTAAGAATTGATTAAAAATAAATCGATTCGAGAATAAAAATTTACATTTAGGGTTAGCGTTTGAAATATTAAAAATGTAAATATTTGGGAGACTATACCATTACGTTTACAGAAAATGTTATTATAAGTAGGTATTTGTTGAAAATTTCATTTATTTTTCGATTATTGCTTACTAAATTACAAAAAAAAAATAAAAACAAGATTTTAACAAATTGATAGGGTGTCACATAAATATTTCCGTTTTACAAGAAAAACTCCCCCCAAAAAATAAACTTATCTAATATCTAATAGTTAAATTCACTTATTAGATCCAATATTTCACAAGAAAATTCCTGTGTTGTTTTTGATTGGAGTTGGTCTTTTGGTCAAAAACTAGGTAGTTGATAGAAAGAAACATTTATTGATTAATGGTATAATAACCAATAGGTATTTACATTTTACGCTTCATAATTATAACTATGTATTATAAGGTCAGATGACTGATGATTGTACTATTATATATATATATATATATATTTTTTTTTTTTGAATCTACTAATTAAATTCTACCGCAGAAATATTCGTTTAATAAATTATAACTTAAACACATTATAGTAAATTTAAGTTTTAAACATTTAATATTGGTATAGCCAATGGATAAATTTGTAATATTTTCGTAGAAAATATAGTACTGCTGCGAATATGGTATAAAACGTCCAGTTGTGTCAATTAATGGCACATCGTGATTTGTAATTGCGTCATGATATATAGGACATACCTTATAAATGTCCTGTAACATTTTAATCATACACATATAATTATTAGTGATTTTTAAATATTTAAGCAATTCGTTAACCATTTTCATTTTATTTATAATACCTAATTTACTATGACTACGAAAGGTACACAGAGAAACCAAGGTTTTCCCTAACCTAAATGAAATAAAAATACTAGGATATAGCGAATCCCAGTAATTCGAACACTCGTAGTAATTCGCTACCAACTTCCAAAAAATATAATAGCCCTGTATACCTATCTACTTTCATATAACTTTGGAATTATAGGATTGGAACCATTATTTTATACAGAGTTCAGTTTATTCAACATAATTTAAAAATTTGATATACAAACAAATAATATAGGTTTAATTCTTAAAAGTATTGGTTTTATAATACATTACAATATCAAATATTTTTGTTATAAATTAAATTGTCCTTTATAACAATAGGTAGCTAAATAATAATAATGATTGTTTAAAATAACACGTAAACCTAACGATTTTGATTATTTCACTTAAAAACCTACAATTATTATAAAAACGATTTATTTCAACGTTGAAGAAAAGGTATCTACCTACATTTAATATAACAAAATTATTGATTTCTTGCCAAATAAGTGAAACAGACGTGTTTCAAAATAACCTTTATTTTGTTATGGAAGAATACCGCCCTTTTGATGTTTAAAAAATCTTCTTTTTTTTAGCCACTGGTCTGTTAATTAGTTTACCATAAGTTCATGTATAATATAATAATAGTGATTTTTTTCGTATTATTTGTATCATATTAACGTAATTTTTGTACCAACAACTAACTTTTTTATTTATTATTTATTTGATTACATTAACGGAATATAAATTCAATTGATTGTGTTGCTACATATAGTAACGCTTAATAGATTTCAAAATGTCGAGTTTATTTACAGTTATATACACCTAATTATTAAAATGTACCTATAACCGTATTTCTTAAAATAGTATTATGGTGTAATAATGATCTCGTAACGAATATTAAATAATATAAATATTACCATGGGGCAATACCGAGGCTTATTGATCGTACTAAATATTCTTTCGGAGTTAATAATATTATACTGTATTTAAAAATTTGAACAATGGTAGAACGGTGTTCAAACAGCTCCTGTAGGATTATTTCTGTAATTAATTCACGGACCGATAATCTGCTTTATGACTTATTCGAAATATATTAATTTATTGTCATAACGTAAAAGGTTTTAAAATATTTACCGTTGGTATTTATTTTCATAGTTAGTAGTATCACACAGTATCGATTTGTTTATTAGACAATTTTGTATACGATATGAAAGGTATCACATATTTAGTAAGTACATTTTGGTTTTTTGTACATTTACATTAAAATAATACTGATATTGAGTTGCAGATTATCATGGTAACGATATTTTAATTTTTGTAGGTAATTAATAAAATATAAAACTAAAAGCATCATTGGTAATGTACGACATACGTTAAGCGAACCAAATTTATAAAATATTTTTTTTCTACCACAAAGGTATAATATGTATTGGTACCATATAGTATAATAAATAAATACATACATATTTTTTTTAATATTAATTTTAATTAATTTAGCCGACTGAACTGTATTCTCACAGTCAAAACTTTTAATAACTATAAGTCATAATTAATGAACCCATTAGCCCGTTATTAAATTTATGCATAGATCGACATTAAAATACAAAAATAATTGTTGAGAATTCAAAATTAAAATTATATAGTTCTATATTTTAAATATTAAATACAGATATTCAGTGGCGTAGCTAAGGGAGACAGAGGGGTCATGGCCCCCCCCCCCAATCGGACGTATTTTTTAAATTAATTTTTGTATAGATTTTATATTAGTACATCCATAGATTAGTATATACTATTAGTATATATATATATATATATATATATATATATATATATATATGAGTACGTAAGTACCTATATTTATATATGAATATATAATATGTATTTAATATTATATTGTATCCAAATTACACGAAAGTAGTGATTTGGATAAAAATAGAAATTCCAATAAAAGTGGTCAAAAAAACCAAATTGAAAAAACTTTGTAAAACACGATAGGCCGATCGATATAATTCACTTATTACTCTCAAAGAACTTTACATTTATATAATTGCTACCCTAGAAAATTTTGAAAATATGATACAAATCCTGAAACCTCAACCAAAGTGTCATAATATGTGAGTGTTATAACCAAGAGTGATTTTCTTGTCTCTCTTGTGAAGTAGTTATTACTTGCTTCTCATTTAATAAACAATTAAGTCAAATATTACAAAGCAAACAACAAGATTTATCTAAAGCTTTAAATAATATAATGATTATTAAAGAAGCTTTAGAAGCCATTCGATCAGATGCTGTTTTAAGGAAATAATGAAAAATGTTACCACAATAGATTCTAAACTAGACATTGATACGGCATGCGTATATGCCTCGAACCTGTGGGAGACAAACTGCCCGAAACAATATAAATGCCAAAGGCGCAGAGGAATATTAGAAAATAGCAATATTTATACCATTTCTTGATAATCTAACTACTCAGTTGTATTCAAGATTTGATAAAAGATTAAAAACAGTTATACCACAAGAAGGTATTGGTCCTTCTAATTTGACACATTATGACGACCAATCAATCTTAGCTGCTGCTTATATTTACGAAAATAACTTTTTAATTATTATGAATTTATGTTTGAAAATAGAGTTATTCATATGAAGAAAGCAATAGCAATTGAAAGAAAATTTATCAGGGATTTCTGTAGAAGAAATTCAACACTGTATAGAGCTCTTTCAAACTATAAAAAAGATTCTTTATTTATTTGCTATTCTACCTGTAACATCCACTACCCCGGAACGTACATTTTTGGTTTTAAAAAGACTAAAAACATACTTACAAGCTACAATGAATGAAGGAAGGTTAAATGGTTTGGCATTAGAAACAATAAATAAAGACGAATTAGAATATGAAAACATCAAAAAAGAAATATTGAATGCTTTCATTACAAAATCCCTTAGGAGGATGAAAGTTACAAATTGGACACAGTAATAATATTATATTATAAACCATAAAAACCATAAGAAATAAGTAATTAATTAAGAATATTTAACTTATAATTATTTAAGTTGATTGTAATAAATTATTATAAATGGCAAGTTGTTAAATATTTTATTCATTTAAGCAGGATGTATTTAGTATTTTATCTGGGCATATAATATGTATATAAATAGTGAAAATATCACAAATTAATTTTTTATAAGGTTTTTTTTATTTCTACGCCACTGCTGATATTTATAACTTTAATATTAATTTGGAGTTTATTTATTGTACAGTTATGTTTTAGCATTATTTTTAAAACAATTGTTGTTCAAAAGAAACTTTTCAACAAAAAAATTGTCACTGGAGACGGGTGTGCATTTTGACTTTGATATACCTAATGATGAATTTTTAATTTCACACCAGTCGTATAATATACTTATCATAATCCTTCAGGCGATGCATTGATTTATTTTATTTTTATACATATATTTTTTATTTATATATTTATTTACTTTATAAACATTATATTGGCCTTTTCTAAACGCGGTCAAATTTTTGAGCTAATAGGTTTCTTACCAACAATTTTGCTCTGATGTACAATGATAGCACTTTTTTTGAAATTAAATCTACTAGGGTGGTATTTTAGGTGATTATTATTTAATTTTCCCAGGAGTTTTTTCAAAAAATGGGAAAAATCGGAAAAAACTGGAAAATAAATACAATATTAAACAAATATTACTAAAGAAAGTATATGATTCATAAAATGTTCTCTTTTTACCATAATATGACATTTTAATTGTTGACAAAATAATACTGTTAACCGAAATCAGCTCAAAATCGTTTTTCGTTAGCAATGGTTAGTCGTTGCGTACTAAATATATAAATACAATTTCCCCTCTACTTTCCCAACTTCTGCCTTACAACAGTGGCACAACTACGTGCGAGTGTGTCCATCTCTTTTTAGTGTAATTTAGTTAAAAATATTCTAAGATATTTAAAATTTTAACATAAACATTATATTGGCTTTTTCTAGATATGGTCAAATTTTTGAGCTATAGATAGGCATTTTATTTTTGTGCGTTGTTTACGTACATTTTTCATTTTTTTAGATACTATACGTATAACATTGTTTGACCAAATAAAAATGCTTGAACATTTACTATGAAGTTCACTATGATTTATGCTAGGGGTTACCTTTAAAAGTTGCTTAACCTTCCCCAGCATCATTTTTTTTTTTTTTTTTTTTGGTATTTGAAAGAAAAAATTTGAATTTTTTACGAGTCATGTTTAACTTTGATTTTTAACTAATTTGTCATTAATGTAAGAAAGAAAAAAGGTTAAATAATAATACAAATTAAAATTTGTCAGATGTTTAATACATTTTTTAGGAAAAACCATTAAAATATAATTATCATACAAGCCGTGAGAGTTTTTACCACGATGCATAGTATTTCACAAAATATACGGTGTGCCGTGGTTTCAACAGCCTTAAATTGAAAACAAATCTTCGAAGCAAATTGTATCTAGTTTGTACATTAGGGGAGTCATTTTTAAATTTTTCTTAGAAATTTTCATATATTAACCTCTTCTAGACGTGATAAAATACCAAACATTGTTCAAAACATTTTTGTGATTTTTGAGCTATTTGTAGATATTTAATTTTGAGTTTTTTTTAGATTTTATTTGATTTATATGTGAACAAAATTTTGTCACCTGTTCAAAATGAATGTACATTTATTACGAAGTTCATCATAAATTGTATTTAGCGGTTAATAAAAAAAAAATATTGTAATTAAGTAGATTTTTCGTCACCGTTTTAAGTGCGAATTCTGATAAAAATCAAACTATACTTGTATAACTTATAAAGTATGAATACTTTATTATTTTTCATTACGGACCTTTATAAATGTTAGGTATAATCTTAAATTTGATAAACTTTTAAATTAGTTACTTACAATTATGTAATAAGTAATTTATAATATTAAATACATATTTATTATTAATGAATCTATATTAGGTACGCAAATATGAGTATTTTAATTTTAATTTTATTTATTACCGAGACCGGGAGAAATATATTGCTGAAGTAATGTAGCTCTAAGGATGTCGTCCGCATTTTTTGGTATCACACATTTTAATTTATTTAAGATGTTTGATATTAATGTTACTTCTGAGACTTTTTTATTGAATCTTTACAGCTTTAGTCGTCGTAATAGTGTTTACTATCGAATTGGCTTCAGTTTAAAATTTTTTAACAGTTTTATTCACTACACAGTCTATAGTTTTACACCCCGTATGTTTATCATCTGTTAGCAGAACTTTAATCACTTCTGGAATGACACTGAAATAATTAAACAGCATTTTTCCATTGCCTGTTAACAATTTAAAATACAAAATATGAAGGAGATTTTACATTAAACAATTATATTTTAAAATTATTTTAAATACCTAGATATTTAATTATCATATGCTAATGTTTAATTTGACTAAATTCGATAAAATAATATAAAAGAAAGGGGTTTTTGTAAAAATGATTTTAAAGGACATTGCTGATAAAACAATATAATTTTCTATAAATAAATTAAAAAAAGATGATTACCAAGAATTTCTTGAATTAACTGTAATATTTTTAGGAGTTATGCCACCGCTGGTATATGTTTTAAAGCACTAGGCGCTAATAATTTTGCACTGTAGATGGCAAAGCGTTATAATGTCAAAAAATATTTTTATTTTGGAAATAAATCAATATTATGCAATGTGAAGAAAAAGCATTAAAATTAATTTGTTGTTTTATTGTTAAATGCTACGCAGAAGTATGGTTTTCAGTCTTCAACGTAATAATGTACCATCCAACTAACTTTTTAAATTCTTCAACCTCTCCAGGGGTTAAAAACCGAATAAATTAATTTTAAAGGTAGGTAAACTTCCTATAATATCACTCCGGAACTTATGTCCACTAAAATTATGCAACGTCACAAGATTGCAAATAAAATCTTTAAAAAACTTTCTGTTTGGGTGTATGACTCTTACTGTTTGTGGAGTGGGGAAACGGTCTTGGTTTCTAGAATACCAATGATACTAACCAATCCACTATTCAAGTTTAAACGACTCCAATTTCTCGTGAAATTATATTTTTTAAGGGCCATCAATAAGGCCAATTTGTGGCAAGAGTTATGCTATGAATAAATTTAAGGGCCCGGGTTCGCCAAAGTTTTTAAGATCCATGATTTTAAAATATGATCATACTACCTAGTACACTTTTTTACATACCAAGCTATAATATTTTAGATTCTAAGCGTAGTGAAGAATGTAATGGTATTTCTATGATGTGAAGTTAGTTTTTTAGATTCTGAGCGGAGAAAAGAGTTCATTGAATTAATTAATAAATGTAGTTTTTTTAAAAATGATGAGTAAAACAAGAAATTTGTAGGTTTGGTTTTACTATGATGTGTACAATTTTTGTTTTCTGTCTACGAACAAAAAAGACGGACATACTTTGCACGTGGTTGCAACCACTATTGAAGTAGAGAAGTTGGAAAGGTAGGATACAGACGGGAGTTTAATGTATATCTGTAAGCAACGATAACTCATTGCTAACGAAAAATTGATTCTGTGCGGAGTTTAGTTGATAGTGTTGCTTTGTCAACAATATGTATGTCATATTATGGTAAAATGATTTCAACAATGTGCGTTTCAATGACAAAAATGATTATTTAAAAAGATATAAAATAATAAAAACTTAATAACAAAAAATAAATAAAAACGGTTACCAATGACAACCTTATTTTTTATCTTTCAATCTTTTTTAACCTAATGAACCAAGTTTTTCTCATTATCTCAAATAATAATGAGTATTTCAAAAAAATTATGTCTTTAAAGTACTACCTAGAGAAAATTTTATATCAGAAAAGTTGCTATACTTGATAATTAGAGTAAGATTTCCAGTAGAAAAAGTATCCACATAAAAAAAAAATAAAAAAAATAAACATCATTGTTAACCAATAACTTACACCGCTCTTATTCTAAAATAATATAACATTTAGTTTGAAATATAACAAATAATTTTAACCTTAAGATAAAACAACGTATATTATACTAGCTAGTATAGTGGGTTTTATAAAATAATGGATTAAATTACATTAATACGATGAACGATAACAAGTATAGTCGTTTACTGTTAAATTTTATGCTTCAATAAAATATGTTCACCTTAAAACTGACTGAATTTCAAATATTAGTTAGGTTAAATTAATCAATCTAATTACATATATGCTATAATTGTACTAAAGCCAAATAAAATTATGTAATTACATTAAATTTCCTAAAGTACCACCCCATCATATTTTCTTTCAGAAAAAGCGCTACACTTAGAAATTGGTGCAAAATTTCTGGTAGAAAATGTGTTTATAGAAAGACAAAATAAACATCATTGTAAAACCAGTACATTCCACATTCCGCTAAGAATATATAACATAAAAATCATATTATCTTACGTGTACTTACAATTATTATTGTTTAAGATGAGTTGGAATATTAAAATAATTGCATATTTATATTTAAAAATCATCATGGCGATGTTAAAATTCACGATCCTCACACCTTTTTTGGACAACGATCCCTGATCGACTGAGAATTCCTATGGCGTATCCGTCTCCAGTATCAGTTCTTTTTAAATATTGATTAGTATAATCGATTTATGATTAGAAATCTAAAATAGTTTTAGCATATTGTAGATTTATAATTAAAAGGCCTTAATATATACGATTTGAAAATAATACATTTTGTAAATATTCTCGTTTTTCCTAAGATTTTTCCCGATTTTTCCTATTTATTATAAAAACCCTTGAGAAAATTAAAAAAAATTTACCTTTCTAAAGTACTAACTCAGTTAAATTTCCTTTCAAAAAAAGCGCTACACTTGAAAATCAGGACTCACGGAAACTTGTTAAATAAGATACAGTTTAAAATTTTAATAGATTAATCTTTCCGTAATCGATCGTTCAATAAAATATTGGTGATTTATCATATTTAATTCACTTTTTATATATATTTTCATTCGATTAAAAATATGAAAAAATTTATATTTACTGACTTGGTATTTATGTCACTCACGTTTCAACTAATTTAGGTTAGTAAACCATTGGAGAAGAATTTAGAGTGAAAATGTCTGTGATATTTTAATTATGACAGTAGAAACCAACGTTCGAATAAATTGACGTCCTACAAAATGTATTTAATAAATTATTTTATGTACCTATACAGTATACATGTACATTTATTAATAAACTTTTGCACTTGAGACTTCACATTGTAAAATTTTGTTTTAGTATGTAATAAGTGGTGCTCAATCTTCAAATTCACTTCGAAAAGTATTAAATTTGTTTGGAATTAATTTTTTTATTACAATTTATGAAACAACAACGCTAAAATATTAAATTGCTGTTAATTTTTGTCACTCTTATTTTTGTGGGCGAAATCACCAACTACTTCGATTTTTAAATAGCAATCTACATTAAAAATTTCATAATTGATTATTAGTTTTTTTATTTATTAATTATTAATTAATTAATTTCATCGTTGACCGTTATCGTACTCACACGTGCCGTTGATGCGTGTTCGTTATCTACTTTGACCTGTAGTATCAATATATAGGTAATTCATGTCGTGAGGCCGTGAAGGTATCAAAACCTAAGATAAAAATTTACCTCTTTCGATGAGAAACTCGATTTATTAATTACCCAACTAACTGATGTGATTAAAGAAAACTTCTAAAAACTAGAACTTAAATTATCTGAAGTTGAGCGTACTTAATCTACAGCACGTCAGCACCATTGTATGTTACTACTCAGGAGAATGTTTACTCGGAATTTTTGGATCGGCAATCTATGATTCGCAATATTATTCTGTTTAATGTACCTGAAGCCTCTGCATCCGTACCTGGCCAATCAGATGATACTTCTTTCACAAAGGACGTTTTTAATGTCATAAATGCCTTAGTTAACCCGGTGTCTGTACATCTTTAGTTAAAGTTTTTTATCAAGCCACGCCCTCTACGTGTTACCCTTCTTAACTTTATTGACGTTTTTGAAATTTTTAAAGTAAAAAGAAAATGTCTTCTATAAACAGACTTAGTACTGTCCGTATTTCATTGAACATAACTCTGTTACAACGTAAATATCTCTCATCTTAAGAAAAAACAATGGTAAACATAATCTATTTGTCAAATATATATAAATGGCTTACCAACTATCTTAAAAAATGACCGGACAAGCGTGCACTAGGTACGTTACACTGGCACCATAACTTTAATAAACAATAAATTCAAACAATAAACTATTTTCTTTTAAATTATTTTCATAGTTTAGTAATCGTTTCGAAATCATTCGTGACCAAAAATTCGGAATTTATAACCTAAACCAAGTACCATAAACACCGTTTTTCCAAACGGGTGCTGGCATAACGTTACACCAGTACCCACACATTGAACAATTTTGAAAAACTTCCAGAAAAAAAATTTTCCCGCTGGTTTTTTAATCCTTATTATACTCTTTGTATATATTTTTATCTAAACAATCATACACTTGCTTAAAATACGTAATGATAGTACCTATGTATCAATGTATCGATGCAATCCGAAAGTATTCTGAAATAATAATAAAAATGTGCAACTAACAATAGATCAACTAAAAAAAAAAAATATTATAAAACAATATTTTCTTAGTGATGCATGTTGAAATTAATCGCAAAAAAGAGGTAATTAGAGGTTATTACGTATCTCGTAAGTGTTCAGCACCGTAAAGTTGTGATATAATTTGTGGGGCCAAGTAAAATTTTCGATTTACTTGGTGAGAGCAAATAAAATTTTCTAAACAGATGTTATAACAGTATTTAAGAAGATGTAAAGTATTTTAAGTATTTATTTATTTATTTAAACATATTTATGAAGCATTATATAATAAATAATTAGTAAATTGTATAACTTTCCTCTCTATTTGCTATTATAGTTGTTTAGGAAATTTTATTAGCATTCGCCAAATAAACCGAAAATTTTACTTAGCATCACAACTTTATGATGCTGAACACATACGAGATACGTAAAAACTGGTGATTTTTCTTCTACTTAGCCTTTTTTTACACGTAGTTGTAGGCGAAGTGTTTTTGCTGTGATAGTATAATATCAACTATACGAGTATATTAGGTTCTACCGGTATAGGATAGACACAATAAACACAATTTCAATAAGATAATATTAATTCCATTGTATTAATAATCATGACTACATCAAAAAAAAATGTTTATTTCATTTTATTAATTGTTATTACATAGATTTATATTTCAAATTTATTTATTTTTTAGCATAATTGTAATTTATTACACATCCGTTAGGTAGGTACCTGATAAACATGTATGATTGAACACAAAAGGCAATTTAATGAATACATTTTATATTATTATTAATTTAATTGATGATAAATGTATTTAATTCTCTGTATGGATAACAGTATTTTTTAAACTATACCTTATTAAGTGAATGATAATATTATCGATTTTCGCGAAGCATAACTTTTATCATTAAACTCTAGTTAATGTTTTAGCAGCTCGGAGTTCATTACGCATAAATCGATCAGTTTCCAAACTGCTCTCTATAGAAAATAAATTAAAACCAAAATTATTAAATTTCAACATACCTTATGTTTTAAATATATACTATTAAAATAATAAGATACACCTACTTTTATAATATTTTATTTTTGTAATAAGAAAATATAGTCATTAAATATTTAATTACAAAACAAATTAAAAATGATTGTATTAAAATTGTAGATTTTATAAATTTAAGTACTGTTATTGGAAAACCAACAGTGTTTTTTGTTTATGGTTTACGAATAAAGGGGAATTTTTGAACTAATATTAAATATTAAATAGTTATGAACATAAAGAGGATGCTATACCCGCATGTGCTGTCTTACTCCAATTAACGGGCGATATAGGTAGCAAAATCTACCTTTTTTAAATTTAAGTTACAAGATATTGAAAGAAGGAAATAATAAGATATTCTTATTGATACGAATGAACAAAAAGTAGTTTTGATTACATAAAAGCTGTACCTACATAAATAAATACTGTAGTGGTGTATTGCACCAGGATAATTTATGTTTTTTACTGGAAAATTGATCTCTAACAAAAAAACGATCGTAACGACAATCCTTGAAAATCTTATTAGTTTTTTTAAAGCAAATAAGTTGTACAAGCTAAATTTATTTAGAGAAAAATATAATTACTCACTGCAATAAGGTGCAAAAAACGCAGTCCCTGCACTAAACACTCCCCTTCCTGGATATTGATCAGTATTTAAACCTATTGGTACACATTCGTTAAACTTGCATTTGTCAATCTTTACCACAAGTGGCTGAAGTTGGCCGATGGACACAATGCTGTAAAATTAAAATTATATCTACTATATATTATTCATTATTATTATTCATATATTCATTTAAAAAACAGCCAATTTTTATATAAAAAAAAAAAAAAACGTATTCAAATTAGAATTAAAATTATAGTTTCACAATATTATATTACTTGGTAATCACTGATAAAATTTTTGATTTCTGTGCCCAAAACGTGCAATTGTTTTGTACTGACTCGGTGAAATACGAATAAGATCTTCCATGCGAACATGCACCCCAAGCTCCAAGTACTAAAATTATTTTTAACAAATTGGATTACTATAATCTTATGTATTTAGCACAATTACTAATAATGTGTAAATGTGCATAAAAAAGGCCATTTTTTATTATTATTATTTTTTTAATGTTGAACAAATTTTTTTGGTCGAACAGAAATGCTTGAAAATTGAATACAAGATTTATATACCTACTTAGTCTTCTTCTTCATCTCCTCGCCTTCAACTCAACTATTTAGGGTCAACCAACTTCGTTATAAACTTCCACTTAACCCGATCTCTCATTTCACATACATCGACTTTCCTCATATCATTCTCTATCGTATCACATCACTTATTTTGCGATCTTCTAAGAGAAATATCCTCCTATGTTTATTCTTTTTGCTATTCTTACAACGTTAGATCTCTCTCTGCCTATGACATACTCAAATCATCTCAGTCTATTATCTCTGATACTAATATCAAAGTCTTGGTCAAGCTACCTTCTATGTACCTATCCTTTATTCTATCCTTTCTCATCAACCCAAGCAACCAATTAAGCATTCCAATTTCTGTTACACTTATTCTCTGTTCCATTTTTATGTGTACCATTTAGAATGTAGGTGTATCCTACGTTTCCAATTTTTCATCTACAACGGTCAAATTTTATTATATTATTATTCTGTAACAGTTTACACTATATTGTGCAATGTACATTAAAAATGTAAACGATTATATTATTAGGTTAGGTTTAATTAATTGATTAATTTGTATCTATTTTACTTTTTATTTTGATTTTAGAATAATCATTAACTTTCATTATTTTGAATAATATTTCACAATAAATTTTACCATCGGCTGGAACAGCAGCTAAATCGGCAATACTCATTAAATTGACTTCGTTTATTGGGGGTAATGTACACCCAGGTTGTATAAAACCACCATTCATATATATGTCCACATGGCCTATTAAATAATAGATAATGGTTACACACTATGATTTGTTTAAAATGTAAATATGTACACAACAATACAACATAATATTTTATATAATTACCTACAGGTTTAATGAGTCCCAAACCCAATAGTGGAATTGTGGGTCTACAACTTGTGTGTATGACGTCAACAAAATTAGCATCTGATTTATCTAGCCGTACTTCCTTTGGACATCCTTCAAATCCGGGTTGAGCAGGGTCAAAAGCCGTTATTCGATTTATACCAGAGATGCCTTTACCAATATATGAGGAAATATGAGCACCCAAACTGTGACCCATCAAATGAATTTTCGACGGATTCAATTCATATCGGTCAATCAGATATTTTCCAAGTCTAAGGATAAATAAGATTGAAAGTATTATACATTTACATTATACATTTTGTTAATAATAAAATCGATTTTGGCGAAAATGAAACTACAATACTCATATATATATATATGCTACAGTAGTCACGGATTTTTCTGGAACATTATTCTATATATTTAATATTCAATGCGTTTGAATTTTTTTTAATTTGCTTTTTAATCAGTTTCTAAAAAAATACTTCATTCATTCCCATTCCAAAAATGTTCAAAGTAACCATTTTGTAACGTACGTTTCAATAGAATCCCCTCCTCCAATTTAGAAATTGTAAATTTTTTTCATTTAAATTTTTAATATTATTATAATAATAGAATATAACGTGAAGTAGAAATAGCCCAGTAAATACCATGTAAGTAAATAATTCAAATCAGACAGTTTTTAACATAATTAAAACTGATTATCAATCACGGTTCATATCTTCAAATATAATAGTTTACACAGTTTTCTTTTAAAAAGCGTGAAATATAATATTGATGCGTTGTAAAAACATTGAATAATGATGATGCGTTTCTGTATGGCGTTTTCCTATAAATGTATTTGTCTATCATTAATCAATACTTACCTAATTAATTCGGCACCGACAACTCTTGTATTAGAAGCTACTTGTAAATAGTTAAATAACTTGGATCCTTTTCCCCAATCTACTAAAAAAACATTGGCGTCACGCTAAAAAAACAATCACAATATGTTTATGTAATGTGTATGTATTTAAATTTAAAATAACATTTACTCTTTATTAATAATAAAAATTATTTATGAAGTATAGAGTTCTTTACATTAAACGATATAAATAATTAAGGATACTGTTTTATACGAATATAATATGTATGTTTTTTTATTATAAAACACCTTTTTTGAAACAATAAAAAAAAATCAATTCCAATCATACCATCGATTATTAATACTTTTAGATTTAATGTTTTATATAAATAATAATTATAAGCATCGATACATGATCGATGCTTATAATTCTGCATATTATAGCATATTTAACGATTGTTATCTTATAATATCATATTATGTAGTACTTGTTTTAAATATGCATCTTTAAGATCAGACATCCATTGGTTTTCACCATCACTGTTGAATCCATGCGTTATAAAAACTGTATACTCCCTATTCGGATTGTAATCCGATCCTTCTAATGTGATTTTTGGCCACAATGTCACATTGTATCGAATATTTTGTTTTCTAAACGAGTAAAATAAAATTCTCTTTAATTATTAATTTTTCATTGGGATAAAAGGAGTGAGCACCTAGTAAACGAGAAAACTTTTACGTCAATTTCTTCGGGTTTCATTGGCTGAGGAAAAGGTCTCAAGTTGGAAATCCACGGATCTTCCATAGGAAAACAACCGAGTTCATCAAAACATCTTGACTCGTTTCCAAAACCTAATTTAATAGTAAATAATATAAGTGTACCTTTGATTATAATTTGAAAACTATTCAAATTCTGAATTTATGTTACAAAAACCATTCAAAATCAATTAATACTTTGTAACTATGTAAGTTTATAGTACAATAATAATATCATAAAAATGATAATATGATAATATCCTTAAAATTAAATCTATCGGAGCCGGTTTTCCAAATTGTCTTTAATTTTATAAAATTTAAAAATTATTATCATCATTGATATTATCACCTTAGAAATCCAACTTTCTCACTAATTGACTGCCCAGTTTCGATTTCAGAGGAGGGACAAGGCCATTTTTACAGACGAAAATAACTTTAAGAGAAAATCACCCATACTAAAATAGTAAAACACTCCAGTGCAATGTTATAATTCCTTTTATATAACAGTTTTGAGGAAAATTGTAAAAATTTAGGTATTTCACTACATTTGTTAATGAACTTTGTTCAAAAACGTTTTTCGTTAACAATGTTTTATTTTTATTCACAGATATAAATTAAATAACTTATAAATAAATGTATTTTACCTTTTAACTCTTTTTTTACATTTTTTATTTGAAAAATAAAAATTTGAACTTTTACGAGTTATGTTAAACTTTGATTTATGATTAATTTGTAAGTAATGTTAGAAAGAAAAAAAGATTAAATAATAATACATATTTTAGTTGATTAATAAAATTTTTAGAAATTGGAATTTTGAAAATTGAAGTTCAATGTGAACTAAAAAAATTTGTTCTCTATCAAAAAAGAAAAGCATCAAAATATAATTATCATATAAACCGTGAGAGTTTTTACCACAATTCATGGCTTTTACAAAATATACGGTGGCTCCAGCAACCTTAAACTAAAAACATCTTCAAAGCAAATTGTATCTAGTGTATTAGGGAAGTTAATTTTTAATTTTTATAGAAGTGTTATAATATTAACTTTTTCTAGATGTTGCATAATGTTCAAAACATTTTGATGAGTTATGAGCTATTTATAGACATTTAAAAATGTTGAGGTTATTTATATTTTATTTGATTTCGGTGGACAATATTTTATAGCCTGGCAAAATAAATGTAAATTTATTACGAAGTTCATCAAGAATTGTACTTATTGGTTAATAAAAAAAAAATTAGCATAATGCAGAAGTTTTTTCGTCACCGTTTTAAATATGAATTCTGGTAAATATCGTAAAAACACGAAATTTAAAAAAAAAAACTTGACGGTTAAGGGTTAAGTTATATTTACTTAAATCGAACTATATTCATGTAACTTATAAATTATAATGTATGAATACTTTATTATTTTTCATTCCGGAACTTTACGAATTTTAGGTACTTAAAACCTAAAATACGATAAACTTTTAAATTAGTTATTTACTAGAATGTAATAAGTAATTTATAACGTTAAATACATATTTATTATTAATGAATCTATATTAGGTATGCAATTATTTTATTTTAATTTTATTTATTACCGAGACTAGGAGAAATACATTGCTGAAGTAATGTAGCTCTAAGGATGTTGTCTGCATTTTTTGGTATGACACATTTGAATTTATTTAAGATGTCTGGTATGGATGTTACTTCAGAAACTTTTTTGATTGAATCTTTAGTCGTTGTAATAGTGGTATTTATAGTATTGGCTCCAGTTTTTAGTGTTTCTTTTGTTATTGTAACAGATTTATTCACTACTCTGGCTCCAGTTTGTTTCAAACATCTGCCGATTATTTCACACGCATCTTTACCATTTGTTGTCACACCTTTAACCACTTCTGTAATAACACTGAAAGGATTAGGCAGCATTTGACCATCACCTGTAAACAATTTAAAATACAAAATATTAAAGAGATTTTACACATAACAACTACATATAAAATTTCCAACACAACAAAAATAAAATAATCTACATATTTTCCAACAATTCTATTAAATCACGAAATAAAACATTAAATAATTAGCTAATGAAATTTCATTCACGAACCATCACGATTATATACTTTTGATACTTAATCAATATTTACGTAGTGTCCTAATCAGGTTTATGTATTTATTAAAATAAAAAAGAAAATATTAATTTAAAAATATTACATGAAGGCCAGTAACGCACAAACCACTGTTCATTTTTCAGACTAAACAATTTATAACACCGAGCAAAATTACTTTAATATTGGATATTAAATACGCAAATGTATATATTGAGTAGTCCAAATGACGCCACTGAACCTTGCATGCATTGTCGTAAAATACAGGTATGTCAAGTGTATGGCACACATTGACCCTGAGGCCTACATATGTTCGAGGGACCTAATTCTGGGCGAAGCGAGGAATGTATTGGTTTTACTAAAATTTGTTTTTTCCCTCTCTATAAACAACTTTTTTATCAGAAATCTTATACTAATCAAATAAAAACAATTTTTTGTTTCGTTTTTGATCTTGTTAATTAGTAAGAAAGTCGTGTTATAATTTTCCAACCATTTTTCATAATAATTGGTAAAAACCGCAGGAAATATTTTTACAGCATTAGCAGTTTTGTTATTTTCGATTTTGTTTTTTTGTTACAAATTAGTTAAAAAAACAAAATACAAAATTCAAAATATAATACATTTCGTTAATTTTTCCGTTTCTATGGTTTTCCCCATTTCTTGGGAAAAATATTGAAGCAACATTTTTGGTAGAAAACGGAAAGCGTCAAAATGTAAAATAATTAAATCATATAGTTAGTCTTGCTTAACTCAAAAACGATTTGACCGATTTGAATAGTTTTTTTTTTGTTCTGTTAGTAATTGTTAGGCCAAATTTTATATAAAGTCTATGGACTAAATCAAAAATTGCAAAAAATTTTAATGATATCTGAGATTTGAACTTGATGCTGTTGCACTAATATTATAAACATTGTCTTTATATGGCAGCGGTTCTCAACCTTTTATATCTGCGTACCATTAATACATTTTGACATTTTTCGTTTTAGTATTTTGTTTTTTTGCTCATCAATCGATTGTCCCGTGAGCAAAAACTGTAAATGCAACGCTGCTTGGATGGAGCCCAACATAACTACTGCACACGGGCACCATAATCCGTTGTTGCGGTTCTATAGGTACAACTAGGCCACCAACCTAGAGGGTGCTGAAACTTTAAACACATCACAGACCCATAGAGGCAATACCTCCATTATCCCTTTTATACGATAGTTTTAACAAGTAATTAAATATTTAAAAAAATATAAAATTTAAAAACATAAAAATTGATCATAATTTGTTTAACTTTATTTTGATACACATGTATTGTGTGTAAGTAATTTGTATTTTGTTCTACTTATTAATTATGAAATACACAGATAACAAATATTTTAGTCTATACTATAAAATAACTTATTGAATATTTTGAGGGTGCTAATTTTAAACTTGGAAGTGCTAAATACCCCCTAGATGTGCCTATGCAGCATAAATTATAACCAACAAAATACTTTACTATGTGATTATCGAACTCTAAACTTTATGAATTTTAAAAAACAGACAGTCACACTCGTGAAACAGACCCTCTAAAATAATCAATATTTGGGGTAAGAATTATGCTATAAACAAATTTTGAACCCAGGTTCGCCAAAGTTTTTAAGGTCCGTGATTTTAAAATATGGTCAGATTACCTAATACACTTATTTACATACCAAGCTATAATATTTTAGATTCTAAGCGTGGGGAATTTAATGGTATTTCTATGATGTGTTTTTATTTTTTTTGATTCTGAGCGTAGCAAAGAATTCATTGAATTAACTAATGTATGTGGTTTTTTTTAAAATTATGAGTAACACAAGAAATGTATTGATTGTACTATGATGTACACAATTTTTGTTTTCTATCTGTGAATAAATTTTCAACCACAAATCTTGTTCCGATCAAAAAATATCAAGAGAGCTTTACTATAAATGATATTGAACCTAGTTGGTGCAATGAGGGGTGTTCTTGATTTTCCTTATTGGTTTAATAAAAATGTTAATTATTTGGATAAATTTGCTGCTTTGAAATAAATATTAAACATCAATAACCTTTATTGTTAATAATAATAAAAATAACAATAAATACAAATAATAATAAAGTAGTTTAATTTAATAGTTGGATATAATTATGCGAGTTGGTCTGTGTCTTTGTCACATGCTATTTCATAATATTTATTATATAAACTCTATACAGTGCATGTAATATTTATTAATTGTTTTTATTTTTGCCGAAACAAACCAAACAGTATTAGAAAAAAAAACAAACGGACATACTTCTCACGATCGATGAGCCATATTGTAGGTCAGAAGTTGGGAAAGTAAATGGGAAATTAAATGCATATCTGTACTCAAAGATTAATCATTGCCAACGAAAATCCATTCTGGACGGAGTTCGGTTATACATGTTTTGAAAGGCTGTAATATTTTCAATTTAAAAATAATATATTTCGTACATTTTCCCGTTTTTTTTTTCCATTTATTATGATAACTCCTAGGAAAATCAAAAAATTACTCCATAAAGTACCACCCTGTCAGATTACATTTCGAAAAGAGTGCTACACATAAAATTTGAATCAAAATTTCTAATAGAAAATAAAACATAAAAATCATATTATCTTACGTATACTTACAATTATTATTGTTTAAGACGAGTAAGAATGTTAAAATAATTCCGATTATCGGTGCGCGTTTGTATTTAAAAATCATCATGACGATGTTAAAATTCACGATCCTCACACCTTTTTCGGACAATGATCGACGATCGACTGATCAGTCGTATGTAGGTACCTACTAGATATGTTGTTGTTTTAACGAAATTATCGAGTTTTTGTTTTTTTTATTATAAAAATCTGTTTTCCGGTACTCATCTGACCTTAGGTTCAAGTTGATCAAGATGTACGAGCGCTGATAAATGGCCGTCAACATATTTTTTTCACAGTGAATGTTATTATGGGCAATAATAATGCAACTGATTTACTATACCTACCTATGTCCTATAAACTATTATATTGGTTATTTACAATATACCTCGTACGTAATTTAGAATATTAATATTACTATGTTTTAGCATCGACGGTAGCTATTAATATGCGGTAGACATTCCATTGACGTGTTAAAATTAACAACAATTAATGTAATACACATTATTATTCAGGTATTATTTTTTAGGGTTAGAAATTATTATTCATTTTATCTGATTGTAAAAAAATTGTATATATAATAACAATATAAGGAAGTGTACGATATAAGTACAACGAAATCAGTATACAAAAATAGTTTTTTTTAAATTAATACTCCATAAAATATTAAATAGGTATTAAACAAAAATTACAGACATACTTCACGTGGGTGGACCACCTTGTAGATGAAAAAATGAGAAGGTAGGATATAAAGGAGAATTTAATGTAGGCGACGATTAATTTTCGCCAACAAAAAGCGATTTTGAACGGAGTTCAGTTATGCATGTTTTGAAAGGTCGTAGAATAATTTACGATTTGAAAATAATACATTTTGGAAATTTTACCGTTTTTTCTTCATTTTTTACCGGTATTCCCATTTATTATGAAAACATCTGAGAAAATTAAAAAATGATCTCCTGAAAGTATCCCTCTCCTCCAGTCAGATTTCTTTTTAGAAAGAGCGCTATTATTGTAAATCAAAACAAAATTGTTCACAGGAAAAAAAAGCCGTACGATTTTTTTTACTAACACCTACATTTTGTAAATTTTTCTAACAGCAAACAAACAATAGGTGACTGAATATAAAATCAAAATGAGAAATACATAGAAGAAATTAGTAGTTTTTACACAAGAAGTATACCGATTTGATTGAAAAAGATTGCGGAACACAATAAGGTAACATAGATTTCAGAGGATTTATTTATTACATATTAAAAAAAAAAAAATTTGTGTAGAATATAAATTTTAACTTATTTTCCTTTACTTTAATATATTTGACAAATCTACGTATTATATAGTAGGTATTCAGAGTGCTATAATTTTGAGCACGACATGCGATGGGGGTCCGTCAATACATCGAAGTCGCAATTTTCAATTTCACTGTTAGTGTATAGGCATTCGTTGGTACTCATTTGCTTAATATTAAATATTCTATATTTTGAATACAACAGTTCCATGTTTTTGGTTTTATTGTTTTCTGGGTTCTCTCTGATACACGAATAAAAAAAAAATATTATATTATTATTATTATCATTTTTAAGAATAAAATGTTTCAGACTAGTGCCTAACAAGATAACGATAGTATTATTGTTTAAAAGGTTAATAAAGATTAATTTGCTATTTATAGTTATCACGGGTAAAAATAAAATCTCCATTAATTTCTTAAACGCGCATTCATTCACTCGAGCCTAATTATTTGTCAAATATTTATTTACGATCATAGTTAATAAATATTAATCATACTGTTCACTATACGTTCATTATATGATCGCAACACAAATTATTTAATTTTTTTAATACTTCTTTGGTACCTATCGATTTTGCACTTTGGAACCAAAATTATTGTAGGTACACATGGTATAATATTAATAGTATATTCAATATACATACTTTTATAAATATGTATAATAAAATATTTTTATACCAACCTAGCAATAATAAAAACGTTTCACATAATTAACATTTCAAACATTAAGATTAGTAATTTAACTCTCACCAAATTAGAAATCGTAAGTTCATAAAGTCTGCTTAGATAACTATAAAAACGTAATTTATAAAATAAAATGTATTGAAATCAATTTTATCAAAAACCATATGGATAAAACTAATAATTTCCTTGCACCCTTAAAAGTTTCAAAATAAGTAACAAAATTAATACCTAAATTACATTACAATGACCTTAAAACCGTAATTTTTTTAATGACACTATGGATCGTAGAATTAATTATTTATTATACTCATCGTATAATGAATATGGTATTGTATCAATATTAAATGAACGACACTGAAAATAAAATATACTTGTGTACTTATGATTTCTATAACCATAATTTAGTTTTAAATGTTTAATCAAGTATATAATTTTGGGAATTTATTTGATTTTCCTTTAACAATCCTGTATTATAGTGAGCTAGTACTAATTGTGTGTTATAAATTATTCTTTTAAATTTTAATATATTAATATTATTAGGTATTAATTATTGAACCAAGTTATCAAAAATTTTCAATAGTATTTTAATAAACAAGCAGCGCGGATTTCACAAAGATAATAACACTAACTCCATATTGTTCTATCTATACATTTAACTCAAGAGGTATCTTTTAGTAAACAAGTAAATGTAATCTACATAGATTTAATAAAATCTTTTGACTGTGTTGATCATGATTTATTGATTACTGAAATTAAGAAATTTGATGTAAGAGAGCGATATTTGTATAGCTCAATTACTACTTAATAGACCGCAAACAAATAGTGAAGTTTGGAAATTTAGTTTCTAATAGCTTCAGAAGTATTGTCGGAAGTTACTGAGGCCGATACTATTCTTAATATTATTTATTACCAATGCAGGAAAGATGTTCAACTATTTTGGTTTTGCTGCTCTTCGCTGATATTTAAATAATTAAAGGCTCTGTACTGAACTGTAGAAAAAGTTTATGTTTTCATATTATTTTTACTTACTTAAAATTATATTAATATAATAGCCCAATATATCCTTTGCCTAAGTCTTATTTTAATTAATTAAAGAATTTTGATTTGAATCGTGATCCAATTTGTAAATTATATGTAACGAATTGTACTATTTGCCTGTTAATATGTTTATAAATATGTTCATGGCACATTGCCTCTTTACTCTTTGCAGGTGTTAAACTATAAAAATATAACTATTAAAATAAATTAATTTCATTAATGGAATATGTATTTACAATTACAATTTAAAAGTATCATTTCATTGTGATAATTGTTAAAGTAACTGTTTAAGTTAAATTAATTAATTATTTGATCACTTATTCACGGATCACTTTTATTTGGTATTGTCATATTTTATTACAAATATAAATTTACTTAATAAGCCAACTTAATCAATTCTGTAATGTACTTACGTATTGGTTAAAGTTATAAAAAAAAGAAAACATATCTAAAATTCTTAATGTACAATATCTCTAATAGGTATCTTAAGATATTTTTATAGAACTAATAATGGCTAAAGCAACAGAAGTTATGAAAATACAAAATCATTTTGAAATTCAAATGATAATACTTCATAGATTATAAGATGGCAAAGAATTTATTATTCTGACAGTTATGATACTATCATGTGTTAAAGTTAGTCAAACAAAATAATATGCAATACAATTGAAATGATAAAAACTGATTAATAAATTCAATACCAAACAAAAACGCTGGAGATTCTGCGAATCGTGTGAATAATATAAAACTGATTGGTTTGAAAAATTAAACAGAATTTTAAACCCATTTTTATTTTTAATAAATAAACTCATACATGGAAACAGTAGGTACATTATAAACAAGGTTATGCTCCTCTTCCGGTCTAACTTGTTTACTCACAGGCATAGTTCAAATGTTGCAAACAAAAACAGGATTATAGTCGTATTCTGTAATCTAGAATTTCTTGACGAATAACATACAGTATCACTAATTCTCAATCTACACGAGGCTAGTTTTTCAAACTATAATTTAGAACTATTATACCTCAAAAAATAGTACCACGTACGATAAAATTGGCCAAGCTTAAGTTTCTAGCATGCTATTATGACTTGAAAAACTAGCCACATGTAGACTGAGCATAAATGCTAGACAAAATAATAAATTATTGCTTATAGGTTTATCCCATATCGATAATATGAATGTCTATTAGGCCTGTGGCCCACGCCACACGCTTATATATAGCAGTTTAAAAGCGTGCATTTATCGAAACAGTCATGAATGGATGAACAACACGTTTCCAACGCAATCAACTACGATTAGGGAATAATTCCCCTTCTCAAATACGCCACAGTGCGATTACATAACAATGAAGTTTGACGTTTCAAATGTTTACGAAACGTGCAGTGACAATATTGTAATATATTAGATACAATTTTAAATTTTAGAAGTAGATACTAAAAGTAGATAAATAGGTACCTATTTATAAACTTGGTGCACAAATGATTTGTAAAAAAAAAGAAATGATACTGGGGACGGGTACATGGGAAGGGAGGATAAATAATGATCTTTAATTTATATCTATAAGAAACAATAAACCATTACTTACGAAAAACTACCGATTCGGAGTAAAGTTCGGTTGTACATGTTTTGAAAGACCGTAATATTTACGATTTTCGTTAAAAATTTGATTTTAAAATTCTTAAAGAAAAACTAAGTTAGTTACCTACTTAATAATTAATTTGCATAATACTTTAGATTTGAACTGATTTTTCAATTTATATATTTAATTAAAAAAAAAAAAAAAAACAAATTTCTAAATTCTACTCTAACTTAAGTTACTATTTTCACCCAACTACAAACTAAGTTAGAAATTTAAAAAATTGTATAAACTAACGTATATTCTAACTTAGTTAGATTTTATATTATACTAACTTAACATTAACTAGTTGAAAAAAATTACTTGCCTAGCTTTGATTTAGTTTATAAATTATATTAAATCTCTTTACTTAGATTGTGAAGAAACGAACAAAATTTAGAATTTGAACATCGTCATTTAAGTGCAGAGCTATTCGCATAAGTATAATATTATGTTTGTGAGATGAATATTATGAGAATAAAATTTTTTGCCCGAGTCGATTTTAAATAAATACGTCAAAATCTGCT